GTATATGTCTGAGTCAAGCAGAAAAGGTCAGAAAAGGTGATGTTAGGGAAATGAACCCTAAGATATGTATTCAAATTTTTTTTCTTTCATGCAATTGTTTCTAACACATTTATAAGATGATTTCTTTGTTGCTTTGTATGTCCCTCCCCCACAGTATAACCCCTGCTTTCACTGTATTTGATGTTGGTATAATTTGTGGAGGGGAAGGGGAAAAACAAATCATTTAAATAGGGATACAGGTGGACCCATTGCAACAATGAGATGTACAAGTCGTTATGTCGAAAATGAACTTTACAACTTTGGTGGGGGGGCGGATTGGGTGGGGGGACGGAGGGGGGGATGGGAAGGGATGGGAATAGGAAACAAAGGAGGAGGCTACAATGCTTGATAAGAAATGTACTCATTATCTTGCCCATGTAATTGCAACTCCTCTGTACAGTATTTTCACAATAAAAAAAATAAATATACTATCAATTGTGCCATATTTTTATGAAGATTTTCTATCAGCACATATTACTGGGAAGGTTTCTGTGACATTTCCATACATGAACAGTGTACCAGATCAGGCTCACCCCTTCTATCATTTCCCTTATCCCCGCACTTCTTAAGTAATTCCAACAGGTTTAATTGCTCTCTTTTATATGTCGTATTTTTATTAAAGCACTTATAATGTACACAATCTACTTTAGTCATAATCACTCCACTGTCAGTGCTTGTCCTTTAGCTCTTTTCCTACTTGCCCTCTTACTTTTCCCAAATATCCCCCACTTTATTTCTTTTTCTTTTTAAACTACATTATGTATATGAGAGAAAAAAAGAAATCTGTTTTTCTGAATCAGGCTTATTTCACTTAACGTGATAATTTCCAGTTGTCCATTTTGCTGCCACTAACATAATTTCATTCTTCTTTATGGCTGAATAAAACTCCACACTATATGCACCACATTTTCTTCATTCATCTACTGAGAGCACTTAGACCTGATTCCATAACTTGGTTATTGTGAACAGTGCTGCACTGAACATGGACATGCAATTATATCTCTTATATTCCCACTACACTTTCATTGGATATATACTGAGGAATGGTAGAGCTGAATTATATAATAGTTCCATTTTTAGTTTTTTGAGGAACCTTACTGATTTCTATACTGGTTACCAAAAATGTGTAAGGGTTTTTCCATCCTCATTAGCAAAGACATTCTGAAGGGGTGCGATGGAATCACGACGTCATTTTTGGTTTTGTTGTGGTTGCCAGTACTAGAGCTTGAACTCAGGGCCTGGGTACTCTTCCTGAGTTTTTTTGCTCAAGGCTGGCACTCTACTACTTAAACCACAGTTCTACTTCTCACTTTCTGGAGTTTAATCGGAGATAAGAATGTCATGGATTTTCCTGCCTAGACTGGCTTTGAATTGGACTCCTCAGATTTCAGATTTCTAAATAGCTAGGATTGCAGGCATGAGCCATGGGCACCCAGCCAAAATATAGCTTTAATTCGCATATCTGTGATGGCTAAGGCTGTTGGACAATTTTTCATGAACTTATTAGCCAGATGTATTTCATCTTTTGAGAACTGTCTGTTCAGTTCATGTGTTCATATACTGGTTTGATTCTTATTTATATATTTTAGATAGTAATCCTCTCTCAGATGACAAGATTTTTCTCCCATTTTTCAAGCTGTTTCTTCACTAGTAATTGTTTCCCTTGTGTAGAAGCTTTTTAAGTTGATGTAATGGTCATCGTCAATTCTTGCTATTCTTTTCTGAACTGTTGGATTTTATTAATAAAGTTCTTGCCTATGTCTGTATTTTCAAGTGTTTTCTTTATGTTTTCCTCAAAAATTTTCAGTATGAAGTCTTAAATAAAGGTCACTGATCTAGTTTGAAATCACTGGATGAGAAACTGATAGTTTCAGTCTCCTATATTTGGATATCCAAATTTTCCAGCACTATTTCAAAAGAGGCAGTCTTTACTCCAGGGTATGATTTGGGCTCCTTTTTCAGTTGGATTTATTTAGGACCTTTATTCTATTTCATAATGGTCTACCTGCCCATTTTTGTGCCAGTAACATACTGCTATTGTTATTATAACTCTGTAGTAGGTGTTAGGATATTTCCAGCATTGTTATTTTTATCAGGATAGCTTTGTTTGGAGTGTTTCGTATCCTTAAATCAATTTAGGGCTTTTTTTCTAGTTTTATGAAGAATGTCACTGTATTTCTGATGGAGACTGAAACTGTAGATTGCTTGTGACAATACAGTCATTTCACAATATTAATTCTTCTGATGAACATGGGAGATCTTCCCATATTATAGGCTTCCATTTGTTCCCTATTTTATTACAAAAACACAGAACATTTATGCTGAATAGAACATTTATGTTGAGGTTGGCCTAGATAGGCCAAGATGAGATGACCCCAAAATGACAAGCTCATGTTCCCATGCCTAGCTACTGGTTAAGAAGGCTGCTTGAGCTAGCCTCAAACCATGATCTTTCCAATCTATATCCCTCAAAAGGCTAAGGTTGTAGGCATAATCCACTGTGCCAGGATAAGCTTATAATATGTCATCTTACCCTGAAAGTCTGGAAAATAGGTTGGATAAAAATTTTTAACAGGAAGTAGTGCTGTAGCTCAAAGTGATAGAGCACTAGCCTTGAGCACAGCAAAGCTCAAGGCCAGTGCCCAGGCCCAGAGTTCAAGCCCCACAACCGACAAAAAATAATAATAATAATAATAATAAATGACATTTTTCAGTTCTCATGCTTCTGTAAATCAAACTTAAATCAAATTTAATGTCTGAACAAGGATATACCATGTCTGCATAATGTCACATTGTTTCATTTCCAATGGTAAATGATCTATGGAAAATTAGTAAAATTTTTCTCTACATCATTACTACTATGAAAAGACATTCTTAGTACTTTTCTTTAAAGTGGAAAATAAAGTTTCTGGTACATGCATAACAATGAAAAAATTTTCATTCAAGCCTAACACAGAGAAGTATCCCAAGTTGTGTTCAGCATGCCATTTAATTTAAATTACTACTAGTGCTTGTCTATGCCTTATAAATTCAACTTAATAGCATCATTATTCCACTTTTAAGTAATATACCATTAATGAATCTTTGCCTTATTTTATTAAAAGAGCAGGTATGAAACCGTTTTACTACATATATATTTAAGCATTCAAAAGCCTATACAGTATTTCAGTAATCCATAAGGGCAAATTTACAACTATCTTAAAAACTGATTAATTAGTTTAAATGCTAGATGACAATAAATTGCCCTTAGATAATTATAACTTACTGAATTGCATTTTTATACTTTGAATGAGACTGATAAATTAGTATAAACTATAATAGGAATAAGAAAAGGTCTTGTATGTTTACAATTTTTAAACCAACCTACATTACACTTTGTACTTATTTGGTCAAAAATAAATATCCATTTTGTAAAAATTTCTGATTTTCAAATAAAAATTAGCATAATTTAATTATATAAATTGGCCATTAAAGTAAATATCAAAGATATTAGCTGTCTTTTTTTGGGGGGGGGTCGGTTGTGGGGCTTGGACTCTGGGCCTGGGCACTGTCCCTCAGCTCTTCAGCTTAAGGCGAGCGCTCTACCACTTGAGCTACAGTGCCATTTCCAGTTTTCTGGTGGTTTATTGGAGATAGGAGTCTCACGGTCTCGCCTGCCCGGGCTGGCTTTGAACCATGATCCTCAGATCTCAGCCTCCTGAGTAGCTAGGATTACAGGCGTAAGCCACCAGCGCCCGGCTAGCTGTCTTATTTTTAAATGGTACTATATAATCCAATTTAGTTAGGCAAATTTGCAAAAAGACTCTCAGAGAAATAAACAGTATAAACTCACTATACAATTTTGAGACTTCAACATGGGTAATGCTTCTGAAAGCATATACTTTTACAATTGGTGAAAGTACTTTAGATCTATTCTGCATATTTCATTATTCTTATAAAAATGCATGTGTCCATGACTTTTGTCTTATGGGTAATGATTAATCAAGTAAATATGAAGCTTTTGCCTGAAAATATAACCTAAGCAAAGTAAGTCAATGTATCACTATCATACATTAATTTTTCTTATAATTTCAATTAACAACAATGAACATAATAATGTTACTCAGAAATACTAGATTTACTCCAGAGAATAAATGCTTATTTGAATTAAAAAAATACAAAAACACGGTATATTATTTGTCTACAATTTTTTCAGTCCTACCCACAAATGGTAGACATTCTTCCCTACCTTGAACTTAACACATCAATGTATTAATCATCAGTTTTAGCCAAGCCTACCTTACATGAGTTTAGACTACTTCCTCTAACCTATAACTGAGAAAAAACAGACTAATTTACATAAAATTGTTAAATATTTAAAGTAACAATAGTATTTTGAACATGCAAAACAGAATAGTTATATGCATATACTTCTATACCACTGTAAAGGTGAAAAAGTTGAACCATCATAAGTTGTGTATCATCTGTGTGAATCTATGAGTAGAAGTATACAATTATGCTAAACTTATGTTTAATGTTAGGAAAACAGCAGATTGTTTACAACAGAAGAGGTTGTACCATTTTACATTTATACCAACAATAAATAAAGAATCTTGTTTCTCCAGTATTTATCAAGTATTTATAGCACAGTTGGTGATCAGTTGAAATTAAATTTTAGAAGTTATGACATAATAATGTCCAAATGCAAGATGGTTATTCATTAGAGAATAAATGTTAATTGGACACTCGTTAACACAGAATACTACTATATCAACATTACATTCCACTAATGTCATTTTTAAGACATCTGAAAAGACAATCACACATTTAATGCAAAAAATGTTCTAAAAGATGAAACAAACATACCTCATAATTATAATAAAATAATAAACATTATTAACATATTTTAAGAAACAAATTAAAAGTATCGAAAAATAACTCAACAGATTTAAAAAGTCTACTTTCTTAGTATAATTACAAACCGAATTTTCTTCTTCCTCTTCCAGTTCTCGCTGCTGTTCCTCATGTCTTTTAGCTTTGATCTCCATAGCTTCTGTGATCAGATCTCTTAATATTGATACAGGTTTGGCATTCTTGATAAAAGGATGCTAGAAGAGTAAATTTCAATTACGTAAGTTCAAAAGACTTTTCTGAATTGTAGCTAACAAATCTTAAAACACTAGTAAATGCTAACCAAGATCATAGGCTTCAGGACTTTTTTTTAAATACAACTAGATTTGTTAATTAAGAAAACAGTATTTTGGATGATTCTGAAACCATATTTTTTCAGTTTCTTTTTAGAACACCTTAAAGCAAATATATAAAAATATAACTCCATTAATAAAGCTATTATTCTTAAATATATACTTATCAAATTAGTAATATAAGTAGTATTTATATTGTGTATAAAAATAAATTTATACTGGTATTTAGTTATAGAATTTAATTAATCTTTATAAGCTGACATATTTTCAGATTTAACTGATAGCCTATGCAAATATTCCCAATAACACTGAAATCTGAACTATTTGTGGTCATAAGTATTTTAGATATGAGATATTCAATCTGATGATATTAACAGAAATGAGATCAACATAAAAACTAAAACCTATAAAAACTAAACCAATAGAATTGCATCTCTTTTTTTAAAAAAACTAAACTAATAGAATTACATCTCTTTTTTAAAAAAAAAGGTATAGAAACTCACATTCTTTTATGCTTTGTTTTATTCTCTGGAAAAACTATGAGCTACCTCTACAAGCCACATTGTAATTTATAAGAAATGCCAATGTACATATTTAGTTCATTTAGTCTACTGCAACCATGTCTTTGTACTATACATTGTGAATTTACTGCAGTGCCATGTTACCATTAGTCTACAGAACTTAATGCTTTTAAACTCAAAATATCCTCATGTGCAATTTCATTTGTACTCAAGTATATCTTATAGTACAACTAAAAGTTAATGTAGAAATACTGAGTCAAAGAATATAATTTTGAAAAAGCCAAGAAAAATAACAACTATGGAGTTGAGAATTCATTATTAAAATGAGAACCCTCTGAATGTTTTAAAACAGGCTTAAAAGCAAAAGTTAGGCTAGGCACTGGTGGCACCTGTAAGCCTAGCTACTCAGGAATCTGAGATCTGAGGATCACAGTTTGAAACCATCCAGGGTAGAAAAGCCTGTGAGACTCTCTATCCAATTAACCAGCAAAAAAGCTGAAAGTGGAGTTGTAGTTCAAGTGGTAGTGTGCTAGTCTTTAGCAAAAAAAGTTCAGGAATAGTGCTCAAGCCCTGAGTTCAAGCCTCAGGACCAGCACACATAAGTAAAAAAGCAGAAAGTTAACAACGAAGAAAAGAAAGAAGTTAGAAGATCACACTTGGGAAACAAAAAATGAGGCAAAGAAAGTATACAGAAGAAAGTGGGGTGCGGGGGAAAGAAAGAGAGGAGGAGAGGGAAAGGTGAGTTTTATCCATACTTCCTAAGGAGTTTTTCTGGTCAATGTAAAAAAGTCAAAAGGTATTAAGAAAAAATGTTTCCCTTATAAGTACTCACTTGTAAAAGTTGTGTTGCAGTAGCTCTCTGCTCAGGATTCTTCACTAAGCACTTTTTAACAAAATCAGTGAAATCATCAGACCAAAGTTCAGGTTTCCTGAATGTTGGTGGTGGATTTGTAGGAATCATAAAAATAGCCTAGTACAAAGGAGACATTCAGAAGACAAAGTAAAAATCACAATGGCACAACCAAACAAACAAATCTCTTTATCTTTTATCACAGTCAAAAATCTCAGAAACAAATTAAGCTGTTCTCATGTTTCTATTAAGATTGTAATTCAGGAAGCAAGTCCATCTGCTACTAATGTAATCATTTCCCATTAAATTTCCTCTGTTTGAAATGTAGTTCATTGAGCACATCATTCCTTATTTTATCTATTTTTTGTTTTATCAGTCTCGGACTGTAGCCACTTACTACAATGTACTACCATGATTTTCTTTTTTTTTTTTTGTCAGTCTCAGAGCTTGAACTCAGTGTCTAGGCACTGTCCTTGAGTTCTTTTTGCTTGACTAGTATTATACCACTTTGAGCCAAGCTCTACTTCTAGTTTTCAGGTAGGTAATTGGAGATGAGAGTTGCATAGACTTTCCTGCTGGGGCTGGCTTTAAACCATAATCCTTAGATCTCAGCCACCTGAGAAGCATGGGCCACCAGCGCCAGGCTTCAATCAATGGATTTTAACTTGGAAAGTGATCCAAATGATTTTCTGAGAACACAACAGTAAATACTTTCAAGCCTGTTGATTTTAAGTTAATCCTCTTATGGATATATATGTATTATTCTTCAAAAAGAGCAAATCCTTGAATAGATTGAGAATATTCATATACATCTTGCATCATATTACATATGTCAATGATAGTCTTCAAAAAGCAATGTAGGCAATATTAAAATAATTAGCATCTTTTAATGAAACAATAAGTATCTATAAAGCCATTTTCTGTGTGTTCAAATAATGCTGTACATTAGAGTAGCAAAGTGATAGGCCAAAGAATAGCACCAGTGGATTTACTCTACTTAGACAATATCAAGCTCATCTTCCTACATGGTAAGAATCTGCTGGAATTGAGCTTATTTAAACTGAGATATATGTTCTTTTTTTGTGTGTGGGCTTCTTCAAGCTTGATCAATCATCTATTTTGCACACAGTCCTTTCAGTTCTTCTTAAGTACCTGACTTTTTAATCACAGATTTTTTAAATGGTTTGCATAATTTTTTATTTGGTATACACAGATTTTAAAATGGTATACATATCTCAGTGCTCACAGTCAACTGGTGGAGAAAAAATGAGCACATACTAAACAACAGCAAATAATAGAGTGTCTCTGAACAACTTAATCTCAGATGATTCCATAGTTGAGTTGGAGCCTAATGAGGCTAGGACAAAATGGGGTTAACAACAGCAGCTAGAAAGAGGACACAAGTCTGTCTGTTTCTTCGAATGAGAAAATGAAAATAAATTTGAACTCTCATCTCTGCAGAGTTCAAAGTACCTACAAACCCCTATGTAGAATGACCTCAAAGTGCAGGTAAAAGATACTAGATTGTCTAGATAAATGCACTTGTTCATCTGCACTTGTTACAAATTGGCGGATAACAATTCAGTGATTTATGTCCTTGAAGCTAGAGTTCTTTCCTTTGAACTTTGAGCCAATAAGTTCCAGTTTTATCTTCAGATAATCTTAACATGTATGGTTCACCTCTGCAGTAGTTATTAGAAATCCAGGGATAAAAAGCTAAACTCTAACTCTTATTTACCCAGTACTACCATAAAGTATATGCAAATGTCATGTTCTATACTCAAAAAGTCATTGAGCAATTATGAATATTGAGTATAAACTTCAAATAAATAATTCTTACTAGCTGATCTACCAAAATGTTTTCTGGAATACCATATTATTTCCATTTTTTAAATTTTAGAAAATCAATAACAAATGAACAGATTTTTCATAGACCTTACTGTATTGAACTAACTATTCATAAATCACAAAAGATCCTCTTAGAAATTTCCACATTTTATATAAGCTTATTAGGTAATAAGCCCCTCATAGAAAGTTTTGGCAATCAGTCTAGCCTTAGACTAACTCAGTCACCACCAACCAAATCACACATACACACACACACACACACACACACACAAACACACACACACACACACACATTATAGCCATATAATTTATCTTATCTCTAACACCATTTTGATTGAAGAATGTTAGTACAATAAATTATATGATTATCCTGTGTTTGTTTCAACACAATGTGTTGCTTAACTACATACTGAACCTCTGATTAAGTTTTAAAAAACACTTCCCTGATCACAGTAGTAGAGGTGCTACAAAACAGGTAGTTATTGTCTTATTTGGAATTTCATGCCTTAGACTCCAAGATTCTAAAGCTATAGAAAGGGCTTGAACTGAGACACTACAATGCCTAAATTTATAATCTTGACAGAATGAGTCAACACAGATGTCTGAAGCTAAGGATTTCTGAGTGTACAGAAGTGAGGGTCACGCAAAGATCACAAAGAAATCTATGTTTCTATTTAAGAACCTTAGGTATATGAGCAAATTGTATCTTCATAACAAATAAATGAGATAAAGAGTGAAAAGGCACTTTATAAAGCTATAAAGAACTAAATAAACATAGCTGTTACCTGATACCACACATAGTAAGTAGCAAGCTATTTAGCCAAATAAAAACACTGATCGAGAATCATTATACACCAAAATTGACTCATTGAATTGAAATCCCTCTATACATTTAAAGATAATTTAAAAATGAAAATAAATTTTAAAATTAGTGCTTTCTAAAACCAAACTACAGTAATAATTTCTGAGAAGGACAGAGAAAGGGAGAAGAGAGAGACACTACAAAGAAGAGAGCAAACAGTACAACTAATGAACCAAACAGTGGACCTGAAAGGGCGAAAAATGGGCTTGGGTTCTAATTTGCCTGTGAGGGTTCCACTGTGTTTTGTTTCTTATTTTCATCTAAAACAAAATGATCAGATGAGGCAATTATCAGACTTCTCTCAGGGTATAAAAGACTGGTACTAACTGCTTAGCAATCTAGGAGTAAGAATTTAGTTAGATAAATAATAAATCACGAAGAGGAAGGAAAAAAAAATGAGAGGTTTTCTGGATATTAATATAAAATGCAACCCTAAGTTTTTATCACCACTACCTCAAACACAAATATAAAGGTATTGAAGAGAACAGTAGTCTGAGTGAAACTTATTCCTAGAATACAGTCTCTGAGCACTGACTAAAGTGTTGGGAATAGAAATTCAAAACTTCCTTCATCTCTAGTTAGAGAAATACTCATAACTAATCTGGCAAATGAAGGTCAATTTGCCAACCTGGAAAGTGAATTAAGTGAGAAGAAAATAGGTAGTGCCCTGGGTTATATAAGGCGAGTAGCTATCACACTATTCAGTTATTAGGAAATTTCAGTCCACATAGAATATTCTACTGGATAACCCTACTTACTGTAGATCTAACTTCTAATTAAAGGCAATATAGAAATTAGAGGAATAGACAAATTTGCTTAATGGTTTACATTAAGGCAAATTATGAAATTCTACAAAAAAAAAACACATAGCCCTAAAAAGTCAATGTCGCAATGAAAAATGAAAATTGTACGGACATTGAGGGGAGAAAAAGTGATCAGATTTGATTGAAAGAGGTCAAATTTAGCCAGACATTGGAGTCTCATGTCTATAATCCTATCTATTCAGAAGGCTGAGATCTGGTGATACCAGTTCAAAGCCAACCTGGGCAGAAAAGTCAGTAAGACTTTTAGCTCCTACTAATCAACAAAAAGCCACAAGCTGAAGTGAGGCTCAATGATAGAATGTCACCTTGAGAAGAAAAACAA